ACGTGGTTATTGTTCACCAAGTATTATTTACAGTAAATGCTACTATTTTTACATTAATAATACATGAATTACATAGCAGTGGTTCAATGCCATATGCCTTCAGATGCCTAAATATCCCTCTGTAGATTAGAATGATTTATACTTAATTGTATAATCAGGGAAAACCATTGGAAACATTGACTTAATGTTTAATATAATATATGATAATAACTTGGTTTGTGATTATTATAGTCTCAATATTTGAAAAACACTCGAAATATCTGAATTAAAATATTAATATAATCAAAAAATATTAATATTGATAAAATTGTATATTTGCTATATTCGTGGCATTAATTTGTTTGCTTAAAATATAATACTAAAATTGGTTATAATTTTTACATAAAGCATAAAGGAACAGCTTTCTTATAAATAGCACACAATATAATTAATACTTAATACAATTAATTGTAATTCACTCTTTTATCTAAATTAAGTAAGTAAAATTTATAATACAAGAAGTTTATTCTATATGAAAAATATCCAACACATCGCTACCATCTAGACATATCTTTATGATATAAAAAAAATAAATGCTCTACATATTTATGCATACCCTTAAAAATACTGCATTTTAATAAACTAATTATAATTAAGTTAACAATTGGTGATTTACTACACTGTATATAAAGTATTTTACTACTTGGAACAAATAACCTACACTAGTTCTAGAATAGAATTAGTAGAATAATTATGAAATCATTATTTTTTATATTAAAAATAATAACTTTAATTGAATTATAATTATTGATTACAAAATATAAAAATACATATTCAATTTTTTGTTAGTTGTATTTATATTATTTTAAATCATTTTATGTTTTAGTTGTAATTAGGGCTATAATCATCCACATATAATTTAAAATAATAAATATCATTTGTTATATAACCGCTATAACTATTGTTATGATCTAAGAATATTTATCTAAGTGTACTATGTAAAACATTTTTTGCTGAAAGTGATTCCAATAAAGATTGATTTGATTTACTACTAAAACTTTGATTTGTTTTAATTGTTATTTGTGAATTTGTGTTGTCGACTGATTTAGCACACTTCCAATGCGCACATGGTGATTATTATTAATATTAATACTAGAAGATTGTCCATGGTTAGGATTGCTTTTCATTTCACTAGGATACTTTATTAAAATAATTTGTGAATAATTATCATAGGTTGGTAGTAATAATTCTATCAACTACAATGTTCATACTTAATTCTAGTGATATATTAATAATCAACAATTATTGTTTGTGTGCTTCTTACCTCGTTGATATTTTGTGGACTTATGTTGTGACGTGAGTTGTTTCTCAAGTTAGTAGCAGTAGAAACATTGTTATCATTTAATTTGCAGATCAAAAATTCATGGAAAAATGTGTTGGCATTAATTTTAAGTGTATTTAATGTTTCATTTAATCCCATAAAATTTGCAGATATAACATATTTAGCGACTGACCACTGGTTATAATTATCGAGTATTTGACTACTTGTCGGTCGGTTGGCAGCAATCGCTTAAAACGTTAAATTGTATGTGTACTTTCATACAATTTGGTAAACTTGTCCCATAACTCATTTATTTTATATTTTTCCATCGGGTTATTACTATTAGAAAAATCACCAATTACAGTGAAACATGAACTGGATGAACCATGAGTTGTGTGAACTAAGCATTTGTGTGAACCAAATCTCAAAACATAAACAAGTCTCTCATAGACATAATGTTAAAATAACATGATTTGTGTGAACATGAACTGTGTGAACTAATGATCTGTGTGAACAAATTGTAGCTAAATGTATATGGCATTCAATGTATTTCACAATGAGTTGTGTGAACCACACAAAATAGCAAACATATAGCCAAATATAGATGACAGCACTAAAAAATTTCGTACCAAAAACCGTTATAATTATAATAATTAGTTGTTTACATTCAATAAACCATTAAAATAACAGAAAATTACGACTATTTCTCTTAAAGCATTTAAAATTTGTAATTAAAATTGTGTGAAATCAATACATTTGACGGTTTGAGATCCCGATGGATAACCGGTGGACACGAGTCGTGCAAATACTGCACACATTCTAACAGTTCTTTAAATATTTCGCAAGAAATGAAATACTCGTAGACTTTCATCGGCTCTTCCGGTTGTCTCCCAAACACAATGTGCTTATTATCGATAATCGACTGTAGATTTTGTGGATAATAATCCATTTGAATGAACAGATGATTGTCTTCCAGCCATGAGTTGTGGTAATTAACCATAAATTCAGAGCGAAGTGTTTTTAAATTCTGGACCTCTTTCAATATTTTTTGTCGCTTACAATTGTCATTAGTTACTGCAAAATAACCATCATGTAAATTACATGCAAATAGTTAATATTCAATAAAATTACCATCAAACTTGACCATTTTAACCGCATATATTTCTTGCTCTATTTTATGCCTCACGTGATATACCTCACCGAACCCACCCCTCCCTATAGTTTGCAATTTCTCAAAATTATTGCTAAAGAAGTTCGACATTTGGTTAGAACCTGTAAAAATAATTTAACATAAATAAAAATAAAAACATAATAAATATAAAATAATTAATATAATCGTGAATGATCATTGTAGTTTATTACCTGTTGACATCTGTTGACTATTATTTGATTGGTTGGCAGTCATATTATATGTTACTTTATCACTTTATTTTACGACTAATTTTTGAGGTGTGGTATTAATTGTAGTGTAGACTGTTTTTAAAACATTTAAATATATGAAATATTATTATATTTTTGATCAAAATTGTACATTAAAACTTATAAAAGTGACGTAAATTTTAAATTAATTAATTATACTAATAAAAACGCGCTAGAGCCACTGTAGAGCCACTTTATTGTAACGACTTAATGTAATGTCTATGGGTGCATGTAGGCAAAGCCTACTTTTGAGATGTCTTGATTATACCATTTAATTTTAAAATTATTTCATTTATATTTAAATTTTTTGTCACAATTGATAAACTGTTTTTAGCTATATTAGTTAAAAGATTAAAATTCTATTTATTTATTGAATATATAATTTATAAGCATTTGTTAGTAAATTATAATTTTATTAAAATTTTTTATAAAAACTGTTTTACTAAAAATATAAAAAATAATTTTGTCGTAATATAATGTCTTGTATTCAGTAATTTTAAGATTAAATGTATTAATCATTGAATACCTATAGAAACATAGATATAATGCAAAGATAGGGGCAAAGAATCGAAACCAAAACTTTCCCACTTGTAATAAAAATCATTTCTATTATATTTATGTTTGTTTTTGAAAATGCTTATTGTTTTATTTGTTAATTTTATTTTAAAAATATTTACATGAAATTTATAAAATTATTTATTTGTTAAAAATATAACAATAAGTTAGTATTTAATAAATACTAGGCAGATTTTGTTTAACTATGGTTTGTTTATAAGATAATAGTTGGAAATGTAATGGCTTTTAGAAAAAAATAATTACCATAATTTATAGCAAAGAATCTATAGGTAAAGAATACATAATTCTACATCAAACATCTACAATTTTTAAAAGGAAGTTGCGATTTTTGTTTTAAATTAAAAACAATAATTAATTAAATGTATAACAATTGGCATACTATTTGGGAATTATGTGTTTGTGAGTAAGAGGTTATAATAATTCTATAAAATTTGTACACAATTTTCACTAAATTCTATTTATGTTTGACTTTGAAATCAATGTTAAGACAATTTAAATTCAGGCAATGCATCGTAAGTATTATTTTTAATATTTTGAATAAAATATTTAAATAAAACTTTACTCAATATTTATTAATTTTATATTTTGTTAATAATCTCACTAAATATATTACAATTTATTTCTTATTTATTTTAACATAAATTTTGTTTATAAAATGTTTGCATTTTTCTTTAAATTCTTCAAATGTCTTGTAATTATAATCTTTATAATCGAATAAATGTATTGTTTTGTAAGTTATTTGCATTTCATTTAAATAGAAATCAAAAGCATTCGTGTAATTAGTTTCACACAATTCAAGCGATGAATTAATTTCATATATTTTATTATCACTCGATTTACAGATTACACGACAAGATATTTTTTGCATTGAAATTAGAGCATATAAATGATACATGGACACACTTTCATTATTAAATAATTGTAAAATTGAAATATGTATTGAATACTCTTTATTATCGTTGATATATTTGCCACAAAAATACACAAATCCGTCGTTCGTAAGGAAAAAGGTTTGCAATACATTCGAACAAACCGTTTGAATGTTAAACAAATTGTCAATAATTTGTGGTTTGAATACATTATCCGTTATATTGTGTCCCAAATGGCACTCATTTTCACCCCAACTGAAGACTCGGCCATTAGTTGTGACGGCAAACGAGGAATTCAGCAAACAATAAACGCCATGTATTTTATATTCAATCCCATTGTCTATAAATTGTATTTTCATTGGAGTTATTATTACTTCAGTCGAGTGCTGTTTCTCACAACCCGTCTGTCCAAATAAATTACTACCCCACCCGTAGACACAGTCATCACCGGTGACCACAAGTGAGTGATAATCACCACAACTAATATCACGGATAACAGGATTTTTAGGCAATGAAATGACGACTGGTTTCAAATAATCATCAGTCGGTGATCGGGCTAACTGTGCCCTATAATTACGGCCCCAACCTTGTATACAGTTATTACCATTAATTGATAAAACAAAATCATAACCACAATTAAATTGTCGTACATTTTGTTGACATAATTCTGGTATAATATGCGGTGTATTGACAGCCCTATTGTGTCCCAAACCAAGTGTTCCCCATTGATTAGATCCCATGCCGTAAACCATATCATCATTTGTCACAAGCAATACATTGAATCCCTTCTCGTCCTCGAAAACGTGAAATAATTGAATACAATTAATGTCTACTTTATTATCGATAGACTTATATTTGGGATAAATTGCTAGACTATTGCCACCAATCGATGCGATCTCTATATCATTGTATTTGTCAGTGATTTCTGATTCAAGCATTTGATTGAATCGCACATAATTTGCGGGAAAGAGACCTATTTTATGGCCACACCTGCCCCTCAACCAACTCTCGTCGATCATCTCGATGTCAGTGACCAAATCATTGGCTTTAATACTAATCTGATTGGTATCGACCGCTTTGTAATTATACAGAGCCGTAGCGGTCAGTCCTGTCGGCAAACCGCTATTATTACTCGGTTTCGCGGTTTTCCCGAAATCCGGTCTTTGATTCTCTGCGTCGGACTCGAGATTAACCGCCGCTTTAGTCACCACTTGTTGTCTCTCTTCCTCGGCCTTCATCTCGTGTTTCTCGCGCTCCAGACGTCTGTCCCTCTCCTCATCGGCTCTGCGTTTAACAACTATTTCCTCCTTTTGGGCCATACTTTCAAATTTCGCCCTTAATTTACTGGCGTTTCCTTTAGAAACTGTGTGTTTGTCTCCACCGGCGGCCGAACCACTCATCACTCGTGTCGACAATTGATCCGTTTTATCGCTTTCAATATCACGTGATTTATGTCCTGAAGTAACACCAATTGAAACATGGCTTTGGTTTCTCTCTTCCCGTTTGTGTCTCTCCTGAGGTGTGTTTCCCTCCTCTCCGACACTTCCTTTCCCTTCCGTTCCTTCATTTCGGCCCATATTCTCGACTTTCGTATTGAAAACACTACTTCTTTTGTTAACCACAGGTTTGTTCACAATATTAGTCTTTTTATTGGCATTTAAACGATCACTTGATTTGTTATTTATATTATTATCACTGGAAATGTCGATATTATTTATTTTATGATTGAAAAACTCATTAAAAAATGTGTTTTCATAGGATTTTAGTGATTTTTGTATTTCTAAGAGTGGTTTTTCATTTGCTGTAATCATATGTCTATTGACTGACCAGTAGTTGTAATCGTCGAGTACCCGACCACTGGTCGGCCGATTGAATACAACTGAATGAGACATTTGACCAATGATTTCAAATAATTTGTTGAAATTGGCTGAAAATACGGTTGGATTATAGATTTCCATAGGATTATAGTCAGATGATCTATCAAAAACAAGTTGTTAATTAAATTAACATTATTTTTAAATAACTTACATATTAAACAAATCAAACAAATGAAATGCAATCATTCCCAGGCTATAGATGTCAGCCGTAATGCTATATCTCGACTGATTTACTTCTGGTGCCATATATTGTGAAGTACCGACATTAGAAGTATGGCTCATAGATGTCATTGTCATGTCGTGGAAAGTGGCGGAACCGAAGTCACAAAGTTTTAGAAACCGATTATTATTATTATTTTGTGAAATCAATACATTTGACGGTTTGAGGTCCCGATGGATAACCGGTGGACACGAGTCGTGTAAATATTTAACACTTTCTAACAGTTCTCTAAATATTTCACAAGAAATAAAATATTCGTAGACTTTCACCGGTTTTCCCGTTTGTCTCTCAAAGACTTTGTGCTTATTATCGATAATTGTCTGTAGATTTTGTGGATAATAATCCATTTGAATGTACAGATGATTGTCTTCACGCCATGAGTTGCGGTAATTGACCACAAAATCTGAGCGCAATTTAACTAAATTTTGCACTTCTTTTAATATTTCCTGTCTTTTGTGATCGCCATAAATGTCTGCAAAACAAACTTCTTATTAATAGTTATTAAATACAAATTATTTAACTCTAAATAATATTAATTGTAAAATTACCAAGGAACTTGACAATTTTAACCGCATACTCTTCCCCTTCAATCATATGCTTCACGTGATATACCTCTCCGAACCCACCCCTCCCTATATGTGACAACTTTTGAAAATTATCGTCAAAAAAGTTTGATTTCTGGTTAGAAACTAAATAAATTTTTAAAAACAAAATAAATGTTAACATATAAATTAAAATACATTGTCATTTATTACCTGTTGATTGGTTGGCAGTCATTTATCTGATTATACTATTATTACTTTAATTTAAGGTGTGGTAATAATTATAAATTTTTTAACTTATAAACTTTAAATATAAAATATTATCATTATACATTTGATCTAATATTATTTATTACAAAATATAATAAAATTTTTAATTAATTATACTTTTAATTGTGTGAATAAAGAGATTTTTCAATAAACACTTAAATATACATGTATATAAAAATAATTGAGTCGTTAATAACACTTGAATTCAATTCTTATGATATTTTAAATGGAGAAATATTTTATAATAGATATAAATAATTGTGTCGTTAATAAGAGTATATTTTGTGGTTAAGACTTGTAATAATCAGTTAAAGAATTCGAAACATAGATTTAACTGAAAATAAAATGATAATAACTATAGTTTTATTGTCTCATAAATTATTTACAATTTAAACAAACACTTACTAAATGTGTGGCAAAATTTAATAATAAGGTGTCAGCCCGAAAAATGCTACTAATCTATTTTATTAGAATTGAATTAGTAAAATTATATTTTATATATAATTTATAAATTCATCAAAAGCAGTTATATTAACTTAAATTATATTAACTTATAAATAAATAAACATTGGTTTATAATATTTTATTATTTTTAAATTAATGTATTTATCAGATATTGTTGTATATATTAAGTGAAAGAGAGAGAGAGAGAGAGAGAGAGAGAGAGAGAGAGAGCCACTGTTACCAGCGATAACAAAGACATAAATATCATGAAATTAAGGATTCATTTCAAGACAATTAAATGAAATATTTTAAACAATAATTAATGTATATTAAAATATAATTTCAAATGTTAATAAAGAGTAATTAAGTTAATTAAAGTATAGCTCAGTTTGTTTATAAATAATACGTAATAACACAGTAATCAATAAACACATGTTTTTAGCCAAAATCTCAATATTTATTTAATATTTGTAAATTATATTTAGCGATAAATAATGACATTTATGTTTTTTTGGTATAAGTGTTTAAAATAACAATTATTTTATGTTGTTTTTTATGTTATTTTGATCGTTAAATACATTGTTATGTTTTGAGAAAATCTAATAAGGGACCTTGTTGAATTATTAAATTACTATCAATAATGTTAAAAATTTTATCATATTTAATTTCATATTTTTTAATTATAATAAACAATTGGTTTAATAAATTCACACATTTCTCACTAAACATTTCATATGTTTCATAATTATAATCTTCATAATCGCGTAAATGTATTGTTTTATAAGTCATTTGCAATTCGCTTAAATAATAATCAAAAACATTCATGTAATCAGTTTTACGTAATTCATTTGTAGCTAAACTACTTTTATATATTTTATTATCAGTCGAGATAAAAGTTAAATTCATAATCATCTCTTGCCATGATGTGACAACATTTAAGTTGATAACCATAACATTATTATTATTAAATAATTTGATCACTGATTTATGTATTGATTTAATATTTTTCTCTATGATAGATTTGCTACAAACATACACAATACCATCGTTTGTAAGAAAAAAAGTTTGACTGCCATTTGAACACACGGTTTGAATATTAAACATATTATCTATCATTTGTGGTATCCACATACTACTCAGATTAATTTGTGCATATATATTATTTGTATTCCGACACAATGTAAATACTCGGCCATCAGTAGTGACGGCAAACGAGGAATACTCACAACAATAAACACCACGTATTTCAATATTACCCCATTTTTCTGTGAATTGTATTTTCATTGGAGTTGCTATTATTCCTAAGTACCATGTAGCATAACCCTTCTTTCCCTCATTATTATTACCCCATCCGTAGACACAGTCATCACCGGTGACCACAAGTGAGTGATAATAACCACAACTAATATCACGGATAACAGGATTATTAGGCAATGATATTATATCTGGTTTTAAATACTCTTCACTGAGTGGTCGGGCTAACTGTGCCCTATCATTACGGCCCCAACCGTGTATACAATTTTGGTCATTAATGAATAAAACAAAATCTTTGCCACAAATAAATTGTTGAATATTTTGTTGACATAATTCCGGTATAATATGTGGTGTATTGACAGCCCTATTGTGTCCCAAACCGAGTGATCCGTAATAATTAGATCCCATGCCGTAAACCATATCATCGTTTGTTGCAAACAATACATTATAGCCCTTTTTGTCATCGAAAACGTGAAATAATTTAATACTATTCATGTCTACGTTATAATTGATAGCTTCATAGTTTGCCACTACTATAGCATTGTCTGTCATTTCAGTTATTGCCATCTCATGTCTCGTTTCCGGTGTCTGTCTCTCCTGATGTGTGTTTCCCTCCTCTCCGACACTCACTTTCCCTTCCGTTCCCTCATTTTGGGCCATATTCTCAATCGAAGCACTCAATTGATTAATATTACCAATAGGTTTGGCCACATCTCTGACCGACTGATTGTCTACCCATTCGGCCCCACAATTGTCATTAATTGTTGTCATCACAGCAGCATTACTATTTATATCCAGAGGTATGTTTAATCGATCACGTGATTTATTTCTTAAGCTATCATCAGTGGAAACGCAGTCATTATTCAATTTACAGTTGAGGAACTCAATGAAAAATGTATTTTCATTAGACTTGAGTATATTTTGTATTTCAATTAGTTCACTATTGTTTATAATTATGGTTTTATCGATTGACCACTGGTTATAATCGTCGAGTACTCGATCACTAGTCGGTCGTTTGAATACAACTGAATGAGACATTTTTCCAATTATTTCAAATAATTTGTTAAATTTGGTTGAAAATATGATCGATTTATATGTTTCCATTGAATTATCATTAGTTGATCTATTAACAAATAATTTGCTAATTAAATTAAAATTATTTTAAAATAACATACATATCGAATAAATGAAACAAATGTAATGCAATCACTCCCAGGCTATAGATGTCAGCCTTAATGGTATACCAGGGACTTATATACTTCTGGTGCCATATATTGTGCTGTACCGACATTACAAGTATGACTCATAGATGTCATTGTCATGTCGTGGAAAGTGGCGGAACCAAAATCACTAAGTCTTATGAACCGATTATTATTACTATTTTGTGCAATCAAAACATTTTCCGGTTTGAGGTCCCGATGGATAACCGGTGGACACGAGTCGTGTAAATACTGTACACTTTTTAAGAGTTCTCTAAATATTTCACAACATGTAAAATATTCGTAGACTTTCATCGGCTCTTCCGGTTCTCTCTTAAAGACAATGGATTTATTATCGATAATTGTCTGTAGATTTTGTGGATAACAATCCATTTGAATGTACAGATGATTTCCTTCAATCCATGAGTTGCGATACTTAACCACATATTCCGGCTTTAATTTAACTAAATGTTGCACTTCTTTCAGTATATCCTGTCGTTTGCTATCATCATAAGAGTCTGCAAAACAGATATTATAATTAAGTACCAATAGTTACATATATGGTGAATATTACCAAGTAACTTGACAATTTTAACTGCGTACACTTTCCCCTCTATAATATGCTTCACTTGATACACTTCGCCGAACCCACCCCTCCCTATATGTGACAACTTTTCGAAAGTATATTCAAAAACGTTTGAATTTTTATTAAAAACTGGGAAAATTGCAGTAAAAATATATTTACTAATTAAATATAGAATTTTATATATGGCAATAAATTTAGTCATGGTGATTTATTATTATTTAATATTTGATGATAGTGTTAACTAGTATTTGATTAGTTGGCAGTAAGTTATTATTATCAGTACTAATTGGCGATAATTACACAGTGTAGTTTCTAAATATTTAATTTCACTTTACAAATATAATTAATATTATATAAATTATTATAATATTTTTAATTAAAACGTATAATAAAAATTATATTTCAATTAATAAATATTTTCAGTTACATTATTATAATGTTAGTTTCTTTTTGAAGTTTATCACAAATTGTCAATTTTATTGTTACAAGTTATAAAAATAAATTCTTAGTATTATATTTTTATAGATTTTATTTTATTTACAATGTTAATATCAAGTAATTTAATAATATGAGTCACTAAATTTTAACAATTTAAAATTATATTAGACTAAATTAAACTAAATACTGAACCAAACAATACTAAACAATTCACATAAATAATTGTATCGTTAATAACACTTGAATTCAGTAGATTTGATATGTAGTGTAAAATAATTAGTGAAAACCATAGTAAACACAGATATTATGGCAAAGAATTGCAGACAATATTTGATAACTTGCTTAAGTCAATTATATAAAATACATCTTAATATTACATTGTAAAATCATAATTGCAATCACGTAAAGCACCTTATTCCTATCATGTTTACTGATAATTCTGATTTTAAATGTCAAATAATTATATAAATGTTAAATTTATAATTTGAAAATGTTGTCTCAAATTATTGTGTATTGTCTACTATGAATATAAATTTACAATTTTTTTGGGTAAATAATCTCTCTCTCTCTCTCTCTCTCTCTCTCTCTCTCTC